CGGTTCGTCGACGGCCAGTCAGTGCGCGACTCGTCGTTGTTGCGACGGTTGGCGAGGCGAGAGTGGTGTTTTTTTTCTCCGTACGTGCCCGTTTTTTCTTGGTCTCTCTCTGGGATCCGACTCCCGGCGGAAAGGGAATTATGCTCGTGGCGAATCGTCGCGACCATCGTCGACGACGTGCTGGCTTGTGCTACGCGGACGAACGCTCCGCGAGAGCGTAGACATAGAATAGAAATACACACACGAACACACAGGCGCGCAAACGACGCGAAGAGCCGACGGGATTTTCTTTTTCTCTCTCTTCACGTCGGAAACGAGCCCAAGAGGAGCGCCGACAAGTACGACCGAAAGGATCATAGGTACCCGGTGTGTTCCGCTGATTGTCCTACGCTCGACAGCACTCTCTGCCATCCGATATACCCTGGACGAAGGCTGTTCGACGACTCTCGGCGTCCCACGGATAAATGGAATAAAGTGTGTCACAGCAGTGTTCAGTGATCGCGCGTGATTTATATATATATATCTCTGTATATCTATATAATTCGCTCGCGGGAAAATCTACGGGTGTAACGTACCCGGCGACCAGTGTATGTATTCAGTGCGACAGACAGACCAGTGAACACGCGAGTTTAACACCCTCGTTTTTCTTGCCCCCTATTATTTTTGTTGATCTCCTCCTGGTTTCCGTTGCTTTTCTCAACCCCCGTCGCGTTCCGATATATCGCACACACGTGAAACCGAATTGCCTGGTTCTACGACTTCTTCTCTCTCTCTCTCTCTCTCCGACGCCAAGGATTACGCATAATAATTCGACACGCACACGTACCTCGGCCGGCACACGCACACACGCACACCGGGCAGCCGTGTCCGAGGATCGGGAGAGTATAAAGGGTGCGACGGTGCGTGTGTTACGTGGTTCACAGTGGGCTATGCAGCCTCGCGAAATCAACGCGAGGAGGTAACGCCGACGAGCGCACACACACCAGGGCACCACGGTCCACACACACGCAGATCCGCCGTCGACAACGCACCGGCGGCGCGTAAACATCGGGAACCGAACCAACCACCAAATATGTGGACCACGATGCTCGTGTGGACGGTCGCCGTCGTGCTCCTGCCGGCACCCCGAACGGTAAGTGTCGTCGCCTTCTTTTTTATTCCCCATGATCTCGTTCTCTCTCCCTCCCTCCCCCGTCTGTCTCGCTCGCGGGACCAAAGTTACCGAAGGTTACCGTTTATTTAGGAGAACGACAATTTCCGAGAGCCGGGAATCTTTCCATTTATTTTTAGTGTGCTCCGTGGGATGCGCGAAACCGCCTTTTTCCCTTCGCGTCCGGGGTCCTCCGGACGCGCACCCTCCCCCGAGGCTGGAGTCCTTAATTCACCCGTAACCTTGAAACGCGTTCGAATATCTGATGGAGATGGTTAGGTTCGTTTTATGGTTTCATAGTTTCCCACTCGTGGTAGCTTAAGTGTCCTATCATCTCGTGGTCCCATGGTCGTCCCGCAGTGCCGATACTTTCCCACGTTTTTAGCACTGTGGTTAACACTGCAACTACCGACCACTTAAACCTTTGCAAAATTTCTTTATAAAAGCTACCACCGTGAATCTATTCGGATATCAATCGATTTACATTTCAGCTTAGGCGTTAGCTTCGTAATTTCTTAGAGATATTCGTACCTTCTTCGCGAAAGAAAAGGTCAAGGAATGGGTACATTTTTGCCCATCTGGCAGTTCTAGCGTTGACCTATCAACTGTCCTCGAACCAGCGATTCCGGTGAACCCGAGAAATCGAAACGTTCGAGGTGGTCCACGCCGAACCGCGGACACACCGGAAGGATTATTTTGCGAACGGATCCACGGTGCCGCGAGAGTGATGTTGTCAAACCCGACGGATACGTTTGTCAACTCCAGGGCAGGCCCCGACCTTCGTCGGCTGTCGATGAATGGCGGCGATGTTTTGGTTCGAATTCCAAGACGTTCCCATCTGTCAAACCGGTCGCCTCGCCGTAAGCCCTGTTGGTATTCGCGGATAAAAACGACGACACGTCGATGGGTTCCCGTTCAGAATAGAATCCCTCGGTCTATATATTTACCGTCCGTCTTCCTCTCGCTCTCTCTCCGTTGCGCGTACGCCTTTGCGTCCCCTCCCTCCCCGCCCGCGCGCCGCGTCTAATTAAGCACTTGCGTAAGTGCGATCGCGGCTTATATTTATCCAACCTATATCGGTGTCAGCCTCGCGTAGAATATCCTTCTAGACGCCGCGCGTGCTTTCCAATCTACCCAACGAATCCGGGATACGCATCTTCTCTCGGATTTCGCCGGTGAGACCGTACAGTCGTCGTTCAGGTTAAATAGCCGCGGACTGAGAGTGATTCAGATCTAGCCAACTTCGATCAATCTCGTAGAAACTTGATCCAGTTCCAATCGTGACTCAAACCCTTCGCGCAGGATTCTTCAGAATATAGAAAACCTACGAAGCTTATACTTCGATTGCTTAGGTAATTAGAAAAGAAACGACGTGATCTGCCGTTAGTAATTAACCCCTCGTACTACGACGAGTGAGACTAATAAAGATTTCTAAACTAATTTAACTATCTTGTTCATTACCCACGGATCAAAGCAAACTGTTTTGCTATTATCAATGTATCATCTTCAAATGAATTTCCACCTGAAGTAGAAAATTTTGTTGTACTTACAAATTGTCGATAGTAAAATACGCCAAGGGGTTAAATCATTCCTTCGACTCAGCAAACACGATTCGTTCGTCCGCAAAGGGTTGATCGCGAACCGAACCTACCCAAAACTCGAATGCCTCGAGAGTACTCGCGACTTCTGGACTTTCGTACAATGTATCGCCGCGGCAGGGACCGTCCGCGTCCGCGGAACTCCGCAGCATTGTAAACGCGGCAGCAACTCGGCTCGAGTTTCAGCCTCGCGAGACAGCCAAGAAATAGAGGCTACCGAATCCTGCATTCCGCGTTTGCTCGAAACGCGTCGGACAATACGTCGGAGAGGCTCGTCGTCGAGTCTTCGAGATTTCGATTCCCGAGAGCGAGTGCCCGGCCACCAGGGGCCAATGGTTCCTCCGGCAGGAGCAGTGGAAGACGACGACGAGGTTGCGTGTCCCGCTAGTTTCGTTTCAGTTTCGTTTTTTCCCCCGCGCAGCCACCCCGCGGCTATCCAAGTGTATTCTTCCTGGGAGAGATGTTTTTTTCCCCTCCCGTGGTTCTCTTTCTTTCTTCCCTTCCTTCTCGGTCCTCGCCGTGCGCTCGCCTCGCTCCTCCTGCCGCGGAGTCACGCGCGGACACACAGATCGGGCCCAGACCCGAGCCATCCGGGCGAAAGAGGAGAAAAGGCAACAGTATTTCGCCGGGTACAACAACTCTAAATCTGGAGCCACTCTTTTAGACGTGTCTAGCGCGGTGATGGCTAACCTTTCTAGTCGGGCTAAAATTGGAAGAATATTCTATGACACCGCGATGCTACTTTGCAACTCGACGCTCGAGGCGTTGTATCGGCTGATGGGGTGTCTTCGATTTCCACTCTTTTTCTTTCTTCTCCTGTCTCATTTCGAGAGATAATTATACCGCATAAATGTATCTACTTTGCAATCGGAAATTTTTCACTATTCAATGTTTAGATATAGACGCTCTATAAATGAAGAAAAGTTATTTTACAGAAATATTTCATATATACATTATACATTATATTATATACGAGCTTATAATTTTCTATCGAATCAAGTGACCGAACCTCTCGAGTGCAAAGGGTTAATGGAGAAGTTTGAATGAATATGTTGAAGGTAGAATTTTCTATTGCTCAACTGTCGCCGGTCGGCGATCTACCGGGTGTCTTCTTCGTCCTCGGTTTTCAGCAGCGGTCGCCTCTCTCTTTCCCGTCGCGTCTCGGTCCGCACGGTGCTCGACCTTCACGGGACACCCTCGGAAATCGCCGGATCGGACTCTTTGTTTCCTCGTCGGGTCTCGGATAGTTTCTCGATTTATCGAGAAAGCGGCGAAGAGAGTGCTCGGAAGAGACGGCGTCTCAAAGGGTGCCTCTGAAAATTGTTTTGTGACGAAATAACGTCGGTTGTTGTATCCGTAAATAGTCGGCGGCGGCCATTCCCGTTCCGAGAATAGCGCTCCAGCGCGCCAAAAATGAGAATTCCTCATCGAGCGGCGGGAACAGCGCGCACCGAGCCGCTTTTACGCTTGTACACACGCATAGGTACATCACCGTCCATAATTGTTGGTGCGTTCCAGTCGGTCGCGGGAAATGAAAATGAAAATGCCGATATATTCGGTTCGTTAATGCATTATTCCTTTGCAGACCCCTCAGACTTCTCGTTCGCTTTGATTTATAATTAAGTATCCGTCTTTCTGCTATAATTAATCGTATTCAAACATTCCTGAATCAGCTATTAACGTCACTTTAATTGAAACGACTTATAATCGAATCAAATGACGACGCAACCTTCGAAGTGGACTTTCTGCACCATAAAGACTCTGTATCACAATAATAGTATATATTCTACGGTAAACGACAGTATGTACAAGAAAAATTAGCATGTCAATGACAGGAATTAGCACGTGACAGACGTGGCATTCGCGTGTAGAATAATTAGCCTTAATAGCTACCGGTTATCGGCTAGATATTTAATCAATAGTTACAGTATCGTTTAATCGAGTAGGTAATAGTTAACCCTTTGCACTCGACAATATTTTTCATTGGAAATATTCATTACTTTCTGGCCAAACATTAACGGTATTTCTCGCAACTGATACAATTGATTATCCTCTATAAATTAAGAGACAGAGCTATTTTACTTCGATGTTTTATGTGTTGATACGTTACGCAAAGTTTAATATTGAAAATTTTATAAGTTTGCTGCGTCGAATTCGCTAATTACCACAGTTTTGAAAAAATATAAAATTTAATTCGAATCGATTATCTATTTAAAATATATTACATAGCAATATGATATTTGAGTTTTTCTATGTATAGTGATGTAAGTTGACCTCAGTGAAAATTGCCATCCGCACAATTCAGTTTTCTGGAACATAGCCACGCGAAAAAATGGGATATCGGTATCGTTCGGATAATTATGGCCGGTAGTGTACCGTGTGTTTCAGCGATACGTAACGAGAATAATCCTCCGTTGAATTCGCGGACGAGCCCTCTCCCCCGTGCACTGTATATTTTTCCAGCTCGCGTCCTTACGACTCATAAAGGCCCGCCATGTTTCTCTTACCTCTCGGCGGACGATCATTCATCGGTGCCCTCGGCGAAATGAAAAACGTCGCCCCGATCATGGGAAGCGGTTTCTTTTTCTAATTCCGAACCCGTAACTCGAGAACGACGCGCCGCGGAAAAATGTTATTCGCGCCGCTGACTTTAACTGTGAACCGTTAATCATCGATAGGTTATGTGACTGATGAGATAGGCCGGCGGTACGGTATTTTTAGATGCAGTTGAATTCCATTTGCGGCGTAACCGCGTCGACGTATACGGAGATCCTTCGTTAACTTCGATTCCGAGCGGAATTTTTCCGATTCGGTTCCGTTTCCTCCCAACTTTACGGCGCACGCGTCGTGGACTATTTTTCGACGCGATGCGAATTCATTTACAAAAGTAAATAGCGAATAGCCTCTCGCTGTACTCTTTCCTTTTCCTGCCGGCGCGTCGATCCAACAAACACTCGAAAACCAAAACCTCCGCCATCTTGCCACAAATACCTTCAGTCGGTATCCCAACGTTCACGCCGCATATAATTGCAACTCACACGTAACACATGCAACAACCCCTTCATTTCCCTCGAACCTTTCCGTCGAAACGTCTGAAATAATTTCCACCTCACGTTTCAATTTCGCTTGAACGAAATTCGAGACAAACGTCTTCCAAGACGTTTCCACTCGAACTTGTCGGGACGCCAAAAAATGGCTAGATGGAAATTCCATTGACAACGCTAGATCTACCGGGTGGATCGGACTGAGCTATTCCTGGTTGCTTCGAATTCTAAAACACAATTCTCTGTTTATTAAGATTTCAATTGGTTTATATTTCTGAGTAGGTATTACGAAATCAGCTTCTTTGACGATTTCTCAGAGAATCTGTACCTTCTCTGACATCTGGCAGTTCTAGTGCTAAAGAAGTTGCTTTAGTAATAATATACTGAAATATAAGCCAATTGATATCTTTTATTGAGATCTTTTAATAAAAATCTAATAATTAATAATAGAAAATCTAATAATTTCAGGGTAGTTTCTCTAATTCATTAAAATATTTAATATTATAACTGGAGCGATATTGGAGCCTACAGAGTTCAAAGAGTTAAAGTGCTTGGTAGTTCTAGTGTTAAACTCATTCCTTCCGTCGACAAAAGTCTCACGAATTCAAAAATCTTAGACAAATATATTCCAAATCGTTTCTACACACTGAAACTTGCCCAAACACTATGAAATGGCCAGCTAGAAATTCCATCGACCCAAAAGAAAAATGTCGGCGCTTCTCACCCTGGATACCACATGTCTCGTTCTTTTCGTCGAAAAAAGAATCGCGAATTCAGTACGGGGGTGTAATGGACGGTAGGGCCGAGGTGACCGGCGAGATCGTAAAACGATCCGCAGTCTCGATAGTAAGGTTAGTGCGCTCCTCTCGTTCACGTGAGACGATATATGTATAGTTTTGCTCGGCTATACAATGTCTCGTGGGAAGGCTCGCTTGTCTGCTGCCGGCTGCGCGCCTCTCTCTCTCTCTCTCTGTCTCTCTTCTCCTCTCTTCGTCCGTGAATACGTGCGCTCGCTCGCTCGCGCGCGCGCGTCCGTACACGCAGGCCATTGTCCAACAGTGGTCAAGAACTGTTGGCCGTAGCGCTAGCGAGACGAGAGGGTAGGAACGGGAGAAATATTGACGCAACGGCTCTGTTTACACTGGATACTGTCGCACAAGAAAAACGGGGGTCCCCCTGGATCACTCGAGGAGACGAGGCTAGAAATCTTCGTCGCGACCGTAACGCGAGTGCCAATCGATTTTATTAGTAACCTCTTGCCCCATGATTTGTTTTCTAACTGATCGATACAGTAACCTTTAAAAAAAGAGAAAAATTCTGTGTAGATTTTATATCTACATTTGCAATATGATCATTGATAACAGAAGAATATCTAATTAGAGTTCAAAGTAATTGAGCGGTATTTATGTTCGTTAAATTCTATTTGAAATTCACCTTCATTACAAGGTTAACCCTTTGCACTCGAAAGAAATATTCAACAGTTTCTGGTGAGATGGACACTTTTGAAAGTTCGATTGTTACGAGATCATTCAACGAAGAAACGAAGCTACTTTGTGTCGATGTTTCATATACTGATGATGCGTTATGAGCTTCATATCAGGCAGCAAACTTATAAGTTTTTTGTGTCACATCATGTGGCGACTGGGAGTCGCCTCTCGACTGCGAAGGGTTAACCGTCCGCACGCCAGAAGTTTTTCACTGGAAATATTCGACATCGAATATCGCCGAGAAATCGCGTGTACATCGAGGAACAGAGTCGTTTTGATCGAACGAAGTTCGATGTTTAATATTAAACTTCGCAAGGTCACTGTGTCGAGTAGATCATCGACTGAAACGCCTCTGGAGTACGGAGGGTTAGTAAACTGTTCGTATTTCATTATTTGAGAATACGAAGAGACAGAGTCGCGATAGATATCTTTCTTGCGGCGAATGTTGTACAAAACGCTTTGTATATTTAGCTTTCTACGTCTTGCACGGTCTGTGAAATTCCGTGTTTCGCACAAACGAGAAGTTCGCGGTGTAATTATTAGGTTGCCTGAAAAGTTAATGGGCCTGCCGTGTTTCGCTTGTGTCAACTATTTTCACTGATTCCGGAGTCAGATGTTTAGTGCTCGCGTTTCGAGGCTCCGTGTTCAGGTTGTAACAAGTAGCTCCGGGGTTAATTGAGTGATTAGGTTCTTGGGAAACGTTGGTATATTGTACCTCTTTTTATTTGCCTTTCTTTATTGTGCCATTGTCTTCCCTTTTCCGATCGTAATCTGTTCATCTGATGCATCGCGCGGTCTGTTTCGCGCTGTAAAGTTCTCTGTGGTTTCTTTGTACCTCGGCGAGTCCTATTAGCTAGATTAGGGTGTGTCTTTGCGTAGCACTTTCATACTATCTTACAGGACTCGTCTTGTAAATGCTACAAAATTAATGGCACAGCGGTTTCTGCCCATTTTTCACATGCTTTCCACAGTAATTGCACTTTCCACCCCGCGCCATCTCCATCAGCTGATAATATAGTTCCACTCGCTTCTGAATTTGATAAAAATTTTTCGCACTATTCTTTAGCCGGGCGAATTCCGAGCCGTGATAGCCGCTGGTATCTCACTCGTGATATTTACGCCTGAGAGACTCGTCAAAGGGGTGCAACGGGTTAAACACCTCGGAGGAACGAGATCTCGTCGTCGCGAACTCTACCATTCCACTGCTCGAAACAACCCTCCGTCGTATCCCTCGCGTCAACCCTTCGCACTCGACCGCCTTTTTCAAAAAAACTATTCTATTTCAACAATCCGCATATCAATGCGCTACACAAAGCTTAATATTACATACAATTATACAATTCAAATGGCAATCCTTAAGTGTTCTCCAGACGTTCTCGAAGATTTCCCACCTAAACCATCCCTTGTCCTTGCGACCAACCCTTAACGCACCAGAAACATTTCAAATCAACCACGAAAAAATACCAAACTGAAGAAATGACCCAACCCAATACTCAAACTGTGAATAGTTTCCATTCCAACAACATCGACAAAACCGATAAAACTTCACCATACACACCATTACTCCCATCAAAATCCCATGCCCTTACATAAGACTGCTCCCTCAACAATCAAACTCCACCTCGATAACTTATCTCAAGACAAGTCGAGCGTCTCGAAAACCGGCATTCTCCCGAAAGGGTTGACTTGGTTCCGTGAATCGGTCGCGAGAGCGAAGGGGTTAGAAGCGACGCGGAGCGGTTCGGTGTCGCCCGCTAATACGTTTACGAGCGGCTCGGTTTTTCACGCCTCGGGAGACGCCCCTCGCGTTCCACATGATCCGCGCGTGGCGAGATGTCCATCTGCGCCGGATCCCCCCGGCTCGCCCCCTGAGCTCTCCTCCGTTCCGCGTCTCGAAAGAGCCAGCCGAAAAACCGTGGCCGGGGAAGAGAGCCTTTTTGCCGCGGGGTCACTCGGCGCGCGGATATCTCTCCTCCTGGGAGAGGCGCACGCCTGCGCAAAAAGCCGGTCGCACACGTGCTGCTGCTGCTGCTGCCGGTGGCGGCGGCGGCGGCGGGCGCGCGCCCGACGGGCACGAGGCGCGGAGACCGACCCCCGGACGCCCGCATCCTGATTCCCTCGCGGAGAGGAGTCGCCGGGCCTCTCCAGAGAGGGTTTGCTTCGGGGAAACAAGTAAACAAAGCGGCGAGGCGAGGCGAGAGCAGCCATGTGTCTGCCGGAACGTGCCAACCGTCTAGACGGTTAAGCCTTTGGCTGCGGGGGTGGCTCTCTCGCCCGCCTTTGATCGGCAAGGATTGAACGCTGCTTTGTCCGCGGAGCTGTCCGACGACGCTTTTGTTCCCGGGGTTTCGCGAATTAGGCGACTCGCGGCCGAATGGCGTTTCGGATGAATGTTCGCGTGCGGACTAGTCGCGAGTGATTCAATTAGAGCGAGATAACGCGTGGTTTCCTATCTTTGTTAGCTTCGTGTGTTGAGTTGCACGTTTCGAAGAACTTTCGTTCGCAGGATGTGCCTGTAAAGTTGGGGGCTTCGAGAAGTTGGGAAATTTGGATGTTTCAACCCCTATGATTCAGTGTGTTGAGGTTTTGTACATTTTGAAGAACCTTCGTTCGCAGGGTGTGCCTGTAAAGTTGAGAAGTTTTAACCCTTATGATTCAGTTCCGGGAGAAACTGGGGTTCAATGGGAATAGTTCTGATATGAAACTACGATGAATACCTTCAGTCTCTCCGAATTCTCCGAAATATTCCTTCATGAACCTTCAACCCTTAAGACACAGAGATCCAGTTGAATCCTCTTCCTCCTACGAAACTGTCGGATAAGCCACGCTAATTGATCGCGAGGCGCGAGGTTAGAGGTTAGATTTTCCGCGAGACCGTGAGAAATATCGCAGGTTTCCAGCAGGTTTCGCGGCGAGAACGATCCTGCGTCGATTGGTCCCCGTTTACGAGCGTTGATGCAAACTCCTCGGTTTCCAGGTAAACGCCTCGGGGGTGTTCGAGCTGAGGCTGAAGTCGTTCGTGAACGAGTACGGGAAGGACAGTCTGGGTAAGTGCTGCTCGGGCAGCACGTCCAAGACCGGCGAGTGCTCGGGCGTCTGCAAGACCAGGTTCAGGGTGTGCCTGAAGCAGTATCAGGTGAAGATCGACACGACGACGCCGTGCACGTACGGCGACGTCGTCACACCCGTCCTCGGCGAGAACATCGTTAACCTGAGCCCGAACGTCGCCATGCCGAGCTTCACCAACCCCATCAGGTTCCCGTTCGAGTTCACGTGGCCGGTAAGTCTCTTCTGTTTTCCTTTCGAACTTTTCTTGTTAACACGTTGACATCCCCGTGTACCACCGGTGGCTCACGTTCGAGCGTGGGCATCATTGAACATCAGATGTGTCTGTCGTGAAATATGACTCGTTTAGCGCGTTGAACGCGTTTTCGCAGAGGAAAATACACAGAATGGAAAATATGATATTAAATTATTCGATTGAATTGCATTACTATTCCACGTATTATGTAGCATCATTTACAATATAGAAATGGTTTCATATAATTGTTTCATTGAGTGTATAATTCGATTTGGTCGGGGTCACCGGTGACCCCCAGCATTCAACGTGTTAATCGATTCGCTGGAAAAAGTTGTCGCGTGAAATACGAGATTCGTCGAATCGATTCGCTAGAAAGAATTGCCGTGTAGTTGAAAATTTGAATAAGTTAAGAGCTGTAGGGATTTGAACGTGTTAACAAGCTTGTAGCGTTTTACAAGTTCCGTGACTTCAGCGATTTACGCGAGTAGTAGACTGAAATAATTGTCGGATTAGAATACTATAGTCCGAGATGTAGTTCTTAGATGTTGCTTTGAGTACTGTATTGCGTAAGTGTCTGTTCGGTTGCCATTCCGGAATTCGTGGATCGACGAGTAACGAGGGGATTCGTTTATCGAAGTCCCTTCCTCCGGTGCGAACGTATCGAGTTACGATCTGCATTTATCTTCGCGATTCCATAAAACACTACTCGATCGCGGTAATTACTCTCGATGGGTGCTCGAACGACCGGAGATAATTCCGCGTCGTAAAAACCCGGAGACAATAACAGTCGCTCGAAAGGCACGCCGAGAAAAATTGGAAAACAGTTGTAACGGTGTTTTTATTGGTGATTTTCGCGTGGTAAATCAATGAGCGGAGTCGGGATTACGTGTTCCGGCACGCCCTGTGCAATCGCGATCCGAGATAAGCGAAAAGCCGCGATTCCGCGACATTTCCGTGCCTCTTACTCCGCTTTTTTTCCCTCTTGTTTTCGCGATCCCCGGTCGATTTGCATATTATCGCGTGCGGCGGCGTGGGACGCGAAAAACGGCTCGCAACGGCGAGCCGCGCGAACGGAACTCTTATCGCGGGTACGCGTAATGAATCGCGGAAAAACATCGAATCGTTACATGCGACGGCCAGCTCGCGATTCGCTTCTCACGTTCATTTGCGAAACATCGATGGCGCTGGCGCCGCGCAAGGGACTGCTCCTTTTAACGGCGACGACGATCCTGCGATTAGATTCCAGCGCGAAAAAACATAGGGACAATTAGATCCGACTACCGATCGCGACGATCTCGATGCTCTGCTTTTAATAGGCGCTACTTATTCCATGAAAGTAGATAGAAATGAAGAATTTAGTCGATTCTTCACAATTTTCTACCGAGATGGATTCTTCGATTTTCCAGCGACTTTCGAAATTTCAATGAAATAAATGCGTCGTTAAAATGAAGTGTTATTATAGAACTATTTTCTGCTGAACAATTTGCCAATAGTAAAAGGACACTCCCACTATAAAGCGAAATTTACGCCGACCATCGAGCATTAAATTAATTACAGAAAAATATCGCGATAGTCGTAAAGGATTGCTTCCAGAAAAATCGTTTATCGTCGTTTGCGTCCTCGAGATCGCCATCGAAGGATCGTTTAAGGACACTTCGTCGAGGATTTGATTTCTAACATGCCTAGCTGCGAGTCTCGTTTCCAGATTAATTTATTAAATATCTTGCGCTGTTGGTAATCGACCGCAGGGGGTTGAAGGGTTTAAGTTCCTCGTTCGAGTCGCGTCTTAACTGCGAGACGGGGTAAATCGCGGTTACGGTGACCGATCCTCCGGAGGGAGAGCCTAGCGTGCGACCGGCCGTTAACTTTTATCTGCCGGTGGTTCGCCGACGCGCGTTTCACAGCCTCGTAAAACGATCCCCCGGATCGCGGCGTTGCGCTTCCCGGTTTCCGTTGCAATCGATAACGAACAATTGAAAAGTAAATTGGCTGATTAGGGAAGCGTCCCTTTTAACGGCCGCCACGCTTTCGTTTTAACTGCTATCTGTGCTCGAGATACGTGCCAGAGGAAATTGTTACTTTTCACGATAGTTTGTTAGGGATATTGCACTTTGAAAGCTTCGGTGGTTTCCCGTATCTCAATGATGATTTGTATTTTATAATAGAGATGGTCTTGGTCGACGATTTGGAAATTTGAATATTTAAAAGTTTGAAAATTTCCAAGTTTGAAGGTTCGAAAGCTTGGATATTTAGAAATTCGAAACTTTCCAAGTTTGAAGATTCGAAGCTTGGATATTTAAAAATTTGAAAATTTCCAAGCTTAAAAATTCGAAAGCTTGGATATTTAAAAGTTCGAAAATTTCCAAGCTTGAAGATTCGAAAGCTTGGATATTTAAAAGTTCGAAAATTTCCAAGCTTGAAGATTCGAAAGCTTGGATATTTAAAAGTTCGAAAATTTCCAAGCTTGAAGATTCAAAAGCTTGGATATTTAAAAACTCGCAGACTTTCCAGTTAGAAAATTCGAAAATCCAGTAACTGAAATAGCCTAAAATAGAATTCTCACAGCGCGGACGCTACACAAGAGCAATCCCCAAAAGTTAGCACTGAAAGACACCTCCCCTAGAAGAAAGCCTGGCGCACTCTAGAGCCGAGAAGTTCCGCAGCTCGAGGGATCGATGAAAAAATAAGCGCAAGAGATACAGGGTTTGGATGAGAAAAAAAAGGGAAATCGCGCAAACGAAACGCGGTCTTCCTACTTTCTCGTGGTGGCCAAAGAAAGGCAGAACACGAAAGCGGCGGGCAGGTCGATCGCATTAAAAACGAGCATTTCGTGGCACGCTGCACGCGTGCATGCGCTTCCCGGGTGCGACGAGGATCGCGCGACCGAATGGCAGATGGTGC